GGGGAGGGGGTGAGGAGAAGAGGGGGAGGACGGCAAGGACGGACAATCAGGGGCGCAATAAAGTGGCGAATGGATGGACGTGCTGGCGGCCTCAGTGCCAAGGAGGGGGAAGGAAAAGAGAGAAGAGAGAGACGGTGATAGACTCGGGCGGGTAAGTGAGTGTGAGTATTTGTGTGCGCGTGTGCGAGGGAGATGGGTGGAGGATCTTCGAGGAAGAGGGAAGAAGAGCGGCCCGCCCCGAGCTGTCTTCGGAAGTGACGCCCCGCCCCGCCCCGCCACGCCCTACCCAGTGCTGCCAACTTAAATAGAGCAGGATGGCCGCGCGCACGCGAAGGATGTGGCCAGGGCCTTGGCAGAACGAGTGGACACGGTCACGCAGCAGAGTAATATAATTCCGGATTACAAGTACAATAGAAATATAGTATATGACATGTGAATCCAAAAACCCATTCATTTGAAAATCAATCCGTATACAATATAATAATAGACATTTTGCTAATATAGGTAATGTAACAAACTAAAGATAGTTCGGCAGACACGATTCATTTTTATGTAAAGAAATATATACAGTTATATTTAGAGAAACGTCACAACAAGACAAATGTAAGAAAAGAGACTCGTATTGTCAAACAAATAGTTACAGGACAACTGCACTACGGTTAAAATGGTCAATATAGAAAAGCGTTATGAAAAAATTTACTCCCCTAAGAAATCACCATCCCCAACACGTTAACAGAAAAATTAATTCACATTATCAGGCTAAAGAGAAACAGGTAAATCACCCAGTCTTCCCAACATCTTTTCTATTTGATGCGCCCGGTAGCATTGGCACAAAACGAGTACAAACTCATCTCAGTGAGGTGAGGGGTGGTCGTCCCCGCCCCCTGCAAATCCTCTCAACGCCTCCGAGACTGATCCGTCTCCAGCACAACTTTTGGTCCCCCGAACAATCCTTGCCCTACAGAGGCCACCGGCCTACAGCCTACGGCCTCTGTAATCAGACCTTTCTCATACTCGGCGACGGCACGCGTCCCGCGCTTTGCCGGTATGAGACAGGTCTGCATCAGCAAGGCCTTGGCACCCACGAGGTAGTCCTCCCCGCGCTCTGCCAGGCTCAGGCAGCCTAGCTCGGCGACCCAGCCGCGTTGGCCCCGGGGGTCGCGGGCGTGGCCGCGGTGGCGCTGTCGCCGGGCTCCCCGGAGCGCACGCCGTGGTCGTCCAGCTCGCCCATGAGGGCGCGGTACTTCCGGGCGATCGCCTCCCAGTCCGTGATGGACTCGATGCGCGCCAGGCTGTGGCTGAAGGACAGCTGCGACCCGAGCGGCGACAGCCGCACGACGGACAGCGTCATCGAGTCTGCGGGCAGGTGGAGTTGGACGTGGTCAGCCGGCCCTGCTGGCCCTACACACTGGCCACCAGCAGCAGCTACAGCAGCAGCAGCACTTACCCGACTGGCCCTTGGGTGCGACCTGCCCCTTCTTGACCTTCGACAGCCACTTGGCGCCCATCTTGGTCCGCGCGCTGACCCTGGTCCTCGACTGCATGCCCATCAGCTGGACCAGACTCGGCCGCTTCTTCTGCATCACTGTGAAGGACAGAACAGCAAGTTAGGACGGCACCGCCGGGTCAGCTGGGGCCGCGGGCCGCGTGCTCCGCCGTACTCACTCTTGGCCTTGCACGCGCGGATGAGGTAGACGAGCCACGAGGTGACGAGGTTCAACGGCGAGGGTGTCGTCTGAGTGCGGTGCATGTTGCGGATGAGCTTGGCCAGCCCGTACTTCCACTCGATGTCGGATTGGGCCTGAGGAGGAAGCGAGCGCGGAGTTAGCAAAGCTCAGGATGAATGGCATGAGGCACAGCGCGGCGCGACAACACGCACAGAGCGCCTGTCTCCCCCTCTCTCGCACTCACGGGTGGTGGCGCACTCTCACTCAGGGCTGCGTGTGAGGTGGCCACCAAGTGCATTGAGAATGTGTTACTCCCCAGGGAGGGCCACACCTCAGCCGACCAGGCCCTGGAAGGTGCCGGCCTGGGGCCATCCGTCGTAAGAGGAGTCAATGTTATCTAAATTTCTGACCACTAAGACTAGATCAACTATTTTTCTAGAACAACGTATTATTATGCTCTCTTAGTGTGTCATGCAATCCTCGAATGAGGGTCAAAAAGCGATGAGAACTAGGGGAAAACTAGCTCCTCGAAAAACATAGGTCTAGACTAATGGATGACTGAGTTTATGGGTTCGTGGAGAGACTTTGATGACCGGATGCGAGCAGAAAGGGTTCATCCAGTGAGATAAAAGCGACGGGCCGTGCAGGCCGCGACGGGCCGTGCGTGGAGCCCTGTGTGTGGCCGAGCACTCAGAAAGACGCAGGCGGGAAAAACTAAGACAAATGTGGGTCAAACATCAAAATTGAAAAGTATAAAAATTTTAGCAAGGACGAAAAATATGTTAAACACCATGTTTTTAGCACGTGCGTCTCTCGTAGTGCCGGCCGTCAAAAGTTGGCGCATTGAGATATAGGTGCCTGAGGTGACATGCCCATCCTGGGTTTTGGCGTTTGTCAGTGTAAAGGAACGAGAAAACGTACTTTTCTGGGAAAAGGCTGGAAATCGCACAATATCACAAGTACGGTTAGGTGAAAAGAGAGACGGCCTCTAACGGAAAAGAGGCCGAGTGTTCTTTCTTACATGCAGTTGTTTCCTTATTAAAAGTTGAACACTTCTTTTAATTATAAAAAGGTGTTAAGACTTTCATTAAACGGTAAAAAAAAGGCTGGTGAATTATCACCTGATTTCCGCTAGGATCATGTAAACACTGACCCCGATTGCCCTTCCCGGAGTGGTGGTGTCAGAGATTCGATCCTTGGGTCTCCTTCATAAAATTATCATTCGCTCTAAAAAGATGAAATCATTTTGGAAAAGGTTTTACATCATGTAAAATTTATTAACAAGTTTTAAGGCAGGCGTGATTGGTGCTATCCCTCTACGACCTTCAAAAACAAAATTCATAAAGGATTCGTGGGATGCTCATTTTGCTGTCTGCCAAGAGCATAAAATTTCAGAAAATAACTTTTGTGGTTTTTTGAATTTTGCGTGTTAGGGGAGTGTGGTTGGCATTTCCTATATACAAGCACTAGAGAGCATAATAAATTATTAAGGCTAAAATTAAGGCTCCCGTGGTAAAACGGGGGTTTGATTTAGACGGACTAATCCTCTGCTAAATTTATTTTCTTAGTGTTATTATTTAAAATCCTACCTTGGTACATGTGGTCACTGCACTTTCTTTTTTTACAATTTACATGAACTCCTAGGTGATATGGGCATTCCCTTTCTAAGCAGAAAACCTCGATTATTGTGATTTTGCACTAACTACGACTCTGAGGGACAAGTGCTGATATCCAGCGCCGTAACGGAAACCGCTAATACCGCCAGAATGAATCGCCGCTTTCATGGATGTCATCCAAATCAGAAAACAATGCTGAGAGCTCGGTTTTCTCATTCGGGCAACATTTTATGCTCAAATTGCCTTGCTAGATTTTTTTTTTTACAAAACTTTCTCCAACGGTGGAATGCATTTTATAGTGACGAGCAGGTGTAATACTCGCGGCTGTAGGAGATGGTTTGATCACTGGGGCGTGGGAACACGTGGTGGTTTAGGGAACCATAGAAGGAAGACCCAGAGATCCCTCCCGGCACGGAACCACGGCCAGAGCTTGGCACCTGTGTGTATGTGTGTATAATGTGTCTGTGGGTGGGTACAGTGATTGTCAAACATATCGAATACGTGAAACACTGATCTAAATTACTCCAAACTACTTCTTTGACACACTGGCCTCCAGCAACAGACTACGTCAACAAATGAATCTACAGCACAAACATTCAATGACAGGACCGAGATTCGAACTGAGATACCCGTCAGAAAGGTCAAATGAATTTCCACAAGGGCACAGGCAACTTGGGCCGTTTTCTTGAGGCATTACCTTACTTTGAGCAAATAACTACTTCATCTGCAATTATGTACTTGGCGTTTAATGCGCTGATTAATCGTTGCCCACCCATTCGACTTTTTCTACATCATTTTAAAACTGCACGGACCTGCCCAAGAGTACAAAGTAACAATCTACACAGACAACAACATCAACTTCTACTCACAACCCTGAACGTGCTCTACTGGGGGTGTGTGCTGCTGCTTTTTGTCGCCCGGAGGCACCGGGTTGGGTTCCTCACAGCCCCTCTGTGTCGACCGGCCCTTCCGGTTCGCACCCCCGGCGGCCCCCGCGCCGCGACGGTTCGTCACTCGTTAGTCACTCGCCGCGCGGGACCGAATGTTCGTCACAGGCCGAGAGGCCGAGAGGGCACGAACGAGAAAAGCTTGTAACTAGGGCCAGCGTGAGGCCAGGGTGAAGGCACATCGCAAGGCGTTGGGCCCTTCGCCGCCCGGCCGCCCGGCCGCCCGGCCCAAGGCTCAATGGCACAGGCGGGTGGTCCGGTCCGACGGCGGCGGCTGGTCCGAATGCGGCGCGAGGTGTTCACCGAAACCCGAACGGAAACGGGTTACGCAGAGTCAAACAGCGACGTCCCTACTTGTGGCCACAAAATTGTGGCCACAAACCCGGCGGCCAGAGTCAGCTTAATCCGACCCGACTATAGAACACACCTTTTCGGGTAATATGAAATCCAAAGCCTTCAGGGTGTAACCAGAAGGTAATAACATGCTCTGCACATAGTCCGTAACGAGCCGAAAGGCCCCGGATGCGTAAAAACAAACGCAATGGGGCCCAGGGGGCCCCAAACAGCTTTTGAAAGAATTGCCTACCCTCCAGGCGCTCTCATCCACAACTTGGCCCTCAGCCACAACTCGTCCCGAGGGTTACTGGG